TGAGATCTTTTAACTTAAATTGGAACACAAATTCATGGTCATCGATTTATTACGATCTAAGAGCATAAGATAAAAGTTAAATGTGGTTATTTTTATTGCCAACTCATCAACTCTTAAACCATTTGTTTACAACAGATCAATTAAGACGATGGTCAGACTTCAAGAGCAAGTTTCGAAGAAAGGTTTCGACTTATGTTGTAGATTAGAATATGCGGTCAGAGGACCGAACGCCTGGATTAGGGGTGGAGCGGAGCCAAAAGGGTGGAGTCAGATGTTCTATGACGTAAAAGATGATCCGCTGAAGTTGTTGAACCAAAGACAGTTCGGGAGACAAACAGAGAAAGGGTTGAAAATGGCTTGGGAAAGATGATTGATTAAGTGATGACATAGGGTTATGCTATTAAACTGTTCCCTTATTGGGTTTGTGGTTGAGTTGGGTGTAGATTTGGTGGAGTATGATTGGTGCATACAAATAAAAACGCAGGGAAGAGAAAGATACAGAACAATGTAATGTATTGGGTTTTTTTTTTTTTTTTTTTTAATTGTTGTGGATTTTTTTTTTCCTTAATTTGTAGTTGAGAATTAGAAAAAGGAATATTATTCTTTTTTATATTGAGCATCCTTTATTTATTATATTTTATACTAAGATTATAACTTTTTTTTTTTTTTGGTTTATTGAATTATACCATCTGGGTTATATTTATGATGTGCTTTAATAGAAGATACAATACTGATTTTTGGTAGTTTGGACTTTGGAGTCACGCTCTATCAGGAATGCTGCTAGGTTTGTTCAATTTATAAATAAAATAATAATAAGCTCTAATTAATAAATGGATGATGTGAAGGTCCAAAAAAAATTTGTTATTGAAATAAATTTAAAAGTAAGATGATTATATTTAATTCTACTAAAATTTAGGGGTTAAAAAGTAATCTATTAATTTATTTGTCAATGACAGTATAATAATAACCCTCTTTGCACTTGTATTAGAACCTAAAAATACCAATAGTGTTAATTTAAGAGTAAAAATCTAGAATTTATGAAACTAGGTGGAAAACTTGTCATTTTGCTAAACCTTGGGTGGGATCAAATCGTTTACTCTTTTATTTATGACTACTAAATCACATGTGAATATGATACTTTTGGAAAGAATTTTTTTTTAACCGCGTAACTCTTATGTGGGAGCCCACCCTCGAATTAAAAAAATATTAATATATAAAATTTCTGGATTTTGACCTAAACTAAAAGAAATATTAATAGACAAAAATATTAATTTGTAATTAGTTTTCATTTTGGTATATCCTAATAGAAATTTTTGAATCTGCCACTACTCTTACGTGAAATTGTGAATATGAGGATTGATATTTAATTTCTTTAGTTTAAAAAGTAACTATTTATAGAAAAGTTAATGTTTGATCATTCAAAATAAACAAAATAAGAGAAAATCTCATGCCAAGATTGTAAAGTATTAAAAGTAAATCCAAGGATAGCACTATTACAAATGATGATTTTGACAAAATTATTGCTAAAGGAGAAGAGGCGATTTCTGAAATATGTTTGATCATTCTGAAGATCTTTTCTCCTTCATGTTTTTGTTGCTTCTTTAATTCTTGAAATTGTTATGTTATACAACTGTTGAATTGAAGGTAAAGCTTTTATGTCATACTTCAGTTTTTAGATATACAACAAAGCTACGGACACCGATTATTTTACATTGAAAATATGTATCGGCCTACGTGTACTCCTGACTCACATCAGCAGTCCAGATACCTGATTTTTTTATAAATATTTTTCTAGTGAACAATCGTCCATCAAATATGGATGACCGTTCACTTATATGGACTCCCGTCCATATTATATGGACGGGGGTTCATTTACTACCCATAAGTAAAATGGAATAATTTTTTTTTATAAAAATTAGGGACGGCCGTTCATTCGTTATGGACGGCCGTCCCTTCATTTTGGACGGACGCCCGCAAATAAGGGACGCCCGTCCTTAACCAAAATATGAAAATGAAAAACTTTAGGGACGACCGTCCATAAATTTTGGATGGCCGTCCCTTACGTTTGGACGGGCATCCATAAATTTTGGACGCCCGTCCATACTTTAAAAAAAAAAAAAAAAAAAAATTCTAAACAAAACTCTTCTTCTTCGCTTTTCTTCTTCGTCTTCATTCCCCATCTCCTCTCTTTTTCTTCGTTTTCATTCCTCATCTCCTCTCTTCTTCTTCATCTTTGTTTTATGAGATAAGTGTGCCAAATCCAAAGGCTCCAAAGCCCAAAAAACTACAAAAGCAAAACAAAGAGAGTTTAAACATTGCACCTATTTAGTATTTACCCAAAAATACAGTTAAAAGATAACTCTTTTTCATAAAAGCTCAACATGATGAGTCCATTTATTTATTAATACTCAGATGAATTTATAAAGAGCTGGTGTAATTTCGGTAGATGCTGCAAATTTCTGATCACCATCTTCATACACCATGTTTAGCGAGAGGGAAGGAAAAGGAACTCATTTTAAGAGTTATTTCCAGAAGAGCAACTTGGCAGTGAACTAGATATGAATAAATTTTAATATATCTTAAACTTTAACTATTCTTAATCCAAGCTACCCACAAAACAAGTCTTTCACAAGGCTACATCCCAGCAAGAGAAAATGTAATGGCCTTAAAGTATAAATTAAAAGACTGATTCACGTGCCTAGTACCTGGTTTACATATGCTGCAAGCCGCTCTTTCACTATGCTTTCAGCCAGCTTCTTTCCTGAACAAATTTTTAAATGAAATATTCAGCTAAATTCCGTTGAAGAATAGAAAATTAAAAAACGATGACGTGCTGCCAAACAGAATAAGGAAATAATACCTGCTTCTTTGTTAGGTACAGTAACGTAAACTACAATCATCGGTACAGTGTCGTTGTTCCCTTCCATTTTGATGGTGTTAAAGCTCTTTGGTGGTGTTTTAGTACCAAACTTTGATCTAAAATTACAATTATGTAAATGCTAACAAGTGATAATTCAATTACAATAAAACTACAGAGAAATTGATTCGAAATTTAAGGTATGTACCTTAAAAGAGAAATTGTTTTCCCTGTTTTGCTTCTGTAGTTTTCTGGGCTTTGGATTTGGCACGTCTATCTCATAAAACAAAGACGAAGAAGAAGAGAGAAGATGGGGAATGAAGACAAAGAAAAAGAGAGGAGATGGGGAATGAAGACGAAGAAGAAGAGTTTTGTTTAGAATTTTTTTTTTTTTTTTTTTAAAAGTATGGACAGGCGTCCAAAATTTATGGACGGCCATCCCCAAAGTTTTTTATTTTTTTTTATTTTCATATTTTGGTTAAAGACGGGCATCCCTTATTTGCGGGCGCCCGTCCAAAATGAAGGGACAACCGTCCCTAATTTTTATAAAAAAAAAATTATTCCATTTTACTTATGGACGGGGGTCCTTTAAATGGGGACGCCTGTCCGTAGTAAATGGACTCCCGTCCATATAATATGGACGAGAGTCTATGTTAGTGAACGACCATCCATATTAAAAAAATATTTATAGAAAAATCAGGCATTTGGATTGCTGGTGTGAGTCAGGGGTACACGTAGGTCGTTATACATTTTCGGCGCAAAATAATCGGTGTCCGTAGCTTTGTTGTTAGATATAAGGTTTTGAATTTTACTATAGGGAAGTGATTTTTAGATCCCCTATTTTTGTCTTTAGCCCCCCATCTTCAAGTTTAGTGGGGATATAACTGCAATAAAAAAAATGTATTCATCTTCTTTTACATTTTTAATTTAAAGCTTTAAAAAAATTAAAAGTAAATTTAAATCAATCAAGAATTAACAATAAAAACATGAGATCAAATCAATCAAAATTATCAATTATATCCTCACTTAAACTTGAAGACTAGGCTAAAGACAAAAATAATGGGATCTAAAAATCACTTCCCTCTACTATAACCTCCAGAAAATAGATTTAACACCTTAAATATTTGTAAGAAACACGTTATAATAATCTATTTTATGGAAAAATTATAAAAATAGGCTTTTGTAGCTTTTAGGATTAAACACTGTTTAGGAAAGTCAATTACGAAAAAATACCCTTCACATATACAATATAAATTTAAATAAAAACTTAATTCATTAAATAAATAATTAATAGTTTATTTAAACATTTAAAAATATTAAAATGGTAGGAAATGTCAATCAACACTGATCAACAAATATCAAAGTCTCCAAAAACCTATTTTAATAATATTATTTGACAAATCACTCCCAATTAAACTAGCCTTAGAAGCTTCGGTTGAAATTAATATTTTAACAATCACTTAATAGCTTGCTGACCTGTCAGATGCTAATTAACGATTGATTAAAAAGTAAAAAGTAAGTTGACTTGGCAAACTACCTTGAAAACAAACATTTTAGGGTGCATTTGGTTTATTATTTTGGATAGGATTTTGGGGATAATATTGGGTTATTGGATAGGGGAATATTACGAGATAAATTTTAAAAATTTATAAAAAGGCCTTAGGTTTATTAATTTAATTAAAGACCCTAATATGTAAAATGACAAAAACACCCCCAAAATTTTTTGTGCTAGATTCCGGCCACCACCGCCGGAATCTGGCCGGAAAATTTCGTTACGGCACAGACCTGTCGGATCTGTGCCGTAACACGTCATTATGGCCTTTTTCGGCCAGATTCGCGGTTTGGCCTTCGTTAACTGTCAACGACGGTCATTTCTTTGCGACGGCCAGATTTAGCCTTTTCCGGTCAGATCCGTGGTGGATATGGCCGGAAAAGGCCAGATCGGTGAAATTTCGGCCATTTATGGTCGGAAGTTAGGCTGTTGTATAGATTCCGACTATCACCGACGGTGGTTGCCAGAATCTGACAAGTTGGGTTGATGGGGGTGTTTTTGTTAATTTTTAAACTTTTTTTTCAGGGGGTATTTAGTGAAATTAATAACCTTATTGGGTCTAAAGTAATTAAAAAAATAGGGTAATATTTCTGGAATAATGTGCCAAACATTATTTGGAAAATAGGATCCAGAATATGGATAAAAATACTAAGCCAAACATAGCCTTATTCTCTCAAGTTATTTAGCAACAACACTTAGAATCAACAAGACACACTCACACACACCATTGATAAATATTCAGTCAAAAATTAATAAATATATAAGGCTTTTATTAAACCTCTTACATTGGTGACACATCAGCCTCCTTTACCAATTCGAGCAACTTATATAAATCCCTCATACTAGGGGTCCAGCCTCATGATCATCATTCTTCTTATGTTGAAACTTGGTCGCCAGCAGCTTCTTAAGCCATATTACTACGACGAACCTTCTTAATCCACTTGCAAAACTTGAGCACAGTTACCTTAAATGTAAAATACATAGGGAATTGTGTCAGTGAATATATGCTTAACGAAAAAAATGTAGTAGTGTACATGAAAGTGTAGGTCCAATGTGGCTTTTGGAAACGTAAGGTGAGTAAGAATGCTGCCGCGAATGCAATCGTTGTTGTACAAAACGAAACAAAGAGTAAGGAGAAGCCTATCCTCAATTTTCCAGGGAGCATGTGAAGGAATTCTTCATAACCAATAGGTGAAGTGAAGACTGATAAGAACATTACCACTGAGGCCAAGGAGCAGAGAAAAGCAACAACGACCATCAATTCGAATAACTGGAATAAATTGTTGTTGAGGAGAACTGGATAACCATTATCATTGGAACCTCCAGGTACATTATAGACAGCTGTGAACACCACAGTGGCGGCGAGAACAGCCACTGCAAAGCAAGACTGAGAAGTCTCCTTTACCTTTCTCTGTGCTTCATTGAGTAGTTTATTGTGCTTCATATTGAAGAGTTCTTTGCAAGTCTTGTCATCCTTTGAATCACGCAACATGAGGTAGTGGGGGGGCACCATCTTCTCTACACGCTACATAAATAAACATATAGCAACATGTGTTGGTTCTTAAATCTGCCACTGCCACCGTAATTAATGCATAAACTAGAGTACATACAATGGGGGCTATCAATTATATTCTCTATAAATTATATTTTTCCTGTTTTAAAATTTCATTGTTAAGGATTCGAAGAATGAAATCAAATTTAAAAAAAGAAAAGATATTTATTTATGTATACTCTAAGGACCCAGGTTATTTTTTAATCCATACATGATTAAAATTCTTGAAGTAGGAGAAAGATGGGCTTACTTTGTACCACTTTAGCTCTTCTTGCAGTTGGTATACAGGTCCTGCAGGGTGAATTTCTGTACTGTCATCCCTCGTGTTTGCAGCATGGTGTAAAATGGTGTAGCCATTTTTGTCAATTCCTCGGACTAACCTTGTCATTGGTATCTTAATCCCTTTCACATGATTGAATATTTTCTTTTGACGGTGCTTAATAGCCACATGCAATATGTTCTGCTTTAGATTATTCTCACACTCAACTAATTGGGGACGAAATTTAAGTATCTTTTTGACAATCTTCTTTATTCCTCCTTCAGTTGCCATAAATAAAGAGCTTGGCTTAGAATCTTCTACAATCGGTGCTTCAGGTGATGAAATTTCTGGGCAGAGTGCTGTAATCAAGGAATCATCTTCTTCTATTAGGCTCTTGGCAAGTTTCAAAGCAAGCTTATGCTTTCTCTTTGCTTCGCAGATTTCTCTCGCTGGTGAACAAATTTTTCCCAATATCCACCACCCTATTCATGCTCACGCATGTACATGATTCATATAATGTAGCAAAGTAAATGAATTTAACGGAACAAAAGTCATATTCTTATTCAAAAATAATTTGGAAATAAGTAAGGTAAATTCTTAACTGTTACCTTTAAAGAGATTTAAACAACAAAGTTCTTTGTCATCTACATCATCACCAAAACGAAGGCCCGTAGAGTTTAGGTATTAACAAAAAGTACATTTCATTAACAAATGATTCTCTTTGACATGTATGTTTGAAGGCACATATGTTGAGAAATTAAATCAGAACAAAAGTAAAGTTTCATCTATTACCTTTGAAGAGATTAAACCTACTCATCTTTTCATCATCATCATTTATACTCATCTTTTCATCGTCATCATTTATACGATCATCAATCGGAATGCCTATAAATTTAGGAATTAATAAGAAATATGTAAATATCTTTAACAAAATGTTCTTTCAAAATGCATGTATTAAGGGCACGCATCCTAAGAAATTAAGACGTATATATAATATATATAACCATTACTATTAATATAACATTCTTATTTCATAATAAATATGTATTATTAACTTATATACACTTTTCATATTATCTCTACTTTTAAGATAAATACACTTAATAGAATAAGTTAAATTTCATAACTTATATACAAATATTCAAAATTATTAACTTATATTCAAAATTTGAAAATTATTAACAAACACATTAATTAAATAACTAAAATACCCTTATTTAATAATATATAGACACTTATATGAGAATGTTAAATGTGACCTAGAATTTATCTATTTAAGAAACTTTTTAATCTAGTTGACCAAAAAGTTGTTAGATATCAAATTTTGGCAGTCGAGAATTTTTTTAGTGAGTATATATATATATAAAATCAAATCCTGAATAAAACTTTTATTACTATTTTAAATTACATAGATCAATAAGTCATATAGAGGTGATCATTTTAATATAATTTTGTGACATGAATTCTTAGCTATTAAATCAATTTGATCCAATGACTTGCTGAGAAGTTAACTATTTTAATGTCAACTAAACAATTTTTAAGTCATTAGATTACTATAAATTAATAATCATGAATTTGTATCACAAATCTATAACAAAAAAAAAAAAAAAAAACACTTACGTTTCAGTGACCCTAACTTAAAAAAAAATAGATCTATAAAAAGTGTGACAAAAAAATATAAAACAAAGAAAGAAAGAACTGAACACCCATTCACTCTAATTGCTATTAGAGAAATGCTACAGTAACACAGGGTTATACAAAGAGCCCTATATAAAGCGGTTGGCAGAGTGATGTGGCAACTTATCACTTAGCACATAGTTATTTAGTAATTAATTAATTATATTAATTAAAATAATTTATTTAACCCAAATAAAAAAAAAAAAATAGTCAAGTGACATAAAACGCCGACAAACCCAAAATCTTCAAGGACTGCTCGCCGGACGAAATCCGATCGGCCTAAAAGAAGCTAGCCCTCCAGTGCCACCCCGACAAGCTCGTCCAATCCGGCTTGACTCACGAACAAGCTACTGCTCAGTTCCAAGAACTCGTTCACGCTTACGAGGTCGTCTCCGACCCCAAAGAACGCACCTGGTACGATTCTCACCGCTATCAGATTCTTTTCTCCGACCTCAATTCGTCGTCGAACTCCGGCCCCAACTCCGTCGTCCCCAATCACTTCTCTTATTTCTCAAACACCGCCTTTTACGGGGATTCCGATTCGGGTAAAGGTTTTCATAAGGTTTATTCGGATTTGTTTGATAAGATTTATAGGAATGAGATCAATTTTGTTAAGAAATTAGGTTTGGGATGAGATACGGTGCGGGAGGCGCCGATAATGGGGAATTTGGAGAGTCTGTACAGTCAGGTGACGGCGTTTTATAATTATTGGTTAGGATTTAGTACGGTGACGAATTTTGGTTGGGTGGACCAATATGATGTTAGGGCGGGGCCAAATAGAAAATCTAGGAGAGTGATGAAGGAGGAGAATAAGAAGATGAGGACGAAGGCAAAGAAAGAGTATAACGAGACGGTGAGAGGTCTTGCCGAGTTTGTGAAGAAGAGGGATAAGAGAGTGATTGATATGGTGGTGAAGAAGGATGAGGAGAGAGAGGGGGAGAGGGAGAAGGAGAGAGAGAGAATTTGGGTTGAATAAATTATTTTGATTAATATAATTAATTAATTATTAAAAGACCTATCACATCACTTAGTAAAGGGCTTTTTGTATAACCCTTGTAATTGTAGCATAATAGCATTTCTCTTTAAAGTGTAGTATAGAGTAATACTACACTTTAAAGTCTTCTATAAAGATATACAAGTCTTCGTATAAAGACACATGTATAAAGGTTTGCGTCATACCATGATTAGACGGAAAATTTAATTTTAGTTAAAAAGTTGACTTTATAAATTCACTCTCTCAATCATATTATGACACATCATTTTATACACATATATTTGTACGAAGAATTTATAATTGTAGAATTATTCTTATTAATATATGTTACAGTAAAGAAAGTTGGAGAGTACATACAGAAGTAGAAGACTCTGCTGATCCATGTGCCCATTCGGTATCCACTTTTAAAAGCAGAGGGCATAGTGGCTAGCAGGTGAAGACTGGTCCTGCCATTTTCGTCCTTCAATGTTGCTAAGCCTTTATCCAGTTTCAGTAACAGTAGAGCCGTATCTGAGCGAAAATTTGAAAAAAACTTAGCACATCAGATAGCAATTGAATATTTCAATTCAAAGCAAAAGTAAACAAGCTAGATGGGTAGAGAAAGAGACCAAAATGCTCTCCTTGGATGGCAACGTGCAGAATGGAGGCTCCAGGCACTTCGCTGGTTTTTTCTTCTAGGGGTGTAAGCGGTTTGGAAGGTTTAGATGCAACGTGCAGAATAATGGAAGCTCCTTGCAGTTCTATGGTTTTTTCTTCTAGGGGTGTAGACAGTTTAGTCTTTTCCTTGATATGGGTTATTTTTTGGCGGTGAATGTCTTTCAGTTGTGTAACTCCTACTCTTTTCATTTCTCCTGTTTCTGTAATTTCATAATCTGTTCCTCTGATAAGTTGTTCAAATCGCTCAGAAGCTAAAACCTTCACCACTTTTGTTCTCCCATATGCAGCAGCTTTAAACAGCGGGGTTTCGCCTTCGTCATTAATATCCTTAAGGAACTCTGTATTTTCAACATCATTAGAGGGCTTCTTATCGTATTCCACCAAGAGCTTTACCGCCTCAAGGTTCCCATTGGCAGCAGCCTCATGAAGAGCTGTGTCTCCGTACTTATTCTTTGCCAAAACGTCATCCATTGTCATATGGTTTTCTTTGGCAATACCAAGTAAATATTTAATTGGCTGTTTATCATTGCTGAAAACTGACAAGTGAAATGCAGTGTCCCCGGCGGCAGATAGAGGCACTGACATGGCATTAGGATTTTTTTTGAAGAAGTTCATCATGTAATCCCAATCCTCCTTCAGGGCTGCCCGATAAGGCCCATAAGCATCGTCCGTCGTCATTCTCCAATTCCAATATGTTCCTATGGAGGCAAGAGAAGAATTAATGAAGAATCCAACAAAAATATTTGCAAAATTTTTCTCCTATTAATTCTACCTGATCAGTCTATAGCTTAATATTTCGGGTGGGAGTGATCCAACTGGCTACACATGTGACATATAGGGTGCTATTAGTTATTGCGAAGAGAGCTAATTAGTAACATATTACAATACCATCCACCGCGCGTTAAAGGAATATCACATAGTAAAGAGATAACATATGAATTTTGTCCACCTACTTGAAGATTAATGTTGTCTTCTAAGTTTATAGTTTATTGTTCAAAATTTAATTAATTACAAATATTTTGTCTCTAATACAATAATACATATGTTTATCGAAGGTGCTTAAGTTAACTTAAAAGTACTTGATAATATATGGAAATTAACATTAATTTAATTTTAATGTACAATTACGGCCAGTGGAGTGTATATTATACTATTACTTATTACTGTAAGTATTAATAAGTTAAAAGAAAAGTTCAACAAAATTAAATATAATATAATAAAGTTAAATGGGGTGAGTGTTACCAACCCCACTCACATGCTTTAATATTTGAAAATTAAAAAAATAATTAAATCAATCTTAGAGATGTAAAAGAAATGACGTGGGCTGAGCACAAGCATATGTTATATCCCGAGACCAGGCTTGACTTTGATAAGCCCGACGTCCGGCTCAGATATATTGTATAAAGTTTTGAATTTACTATAACCTCCATAAAATAGCTAACTCTGTAAAAACCTACATAACACCTTTTATAAATTAAAATTTCAAAAAAAAAAAAAAAAAACCCTTTATAAAAACTCGAAAAGATCTTTATTAAATAATCGCCTAATAAATGCCCCAAATTTGTAAGAAAAATCTCAAAAAGATCTTTATTTTTTTAACCAATTAAACTCGGGCTAAAAGCGAAGGTAAGAGTGGTCCGGGTATTAAAAACCTGGAACTTTTCCCTAAGGCCTGAGCCCAGGCTTGAGATTTTTAAGAATTCGATTTTGATTTGAAATCTCTAGTTTCGAAAAAAGAAGCAGGCCAATATCCAACCATTTTACTACCAGTTGACTTGGGTCAGCCCACTTCAAATACCCACCCAACATTACTAAAAGACAACATTGAGAGAAATTTGGATTATTAAATAAAATCTTGAAAAATAACACAACGAAAACTCTTCTAAATTCAAAGTTTATAAAAACACAGAAAATATTATATATATGATAAAGAATTAGTAATCTTTTTACATTTTTTAAATACATATATTTGAAAGTGTAAGAGTTTTTCGATCTTACTTGAGTCCAGCTATGACCGAAGTTTTTCACGCGTTAGATAGTGAGGAGAGAGGAGGAGATCAAGGGACACAACACAAGTAGCTTGCAGAGAGATAGATGTTTGTAATTGAGGAGAAAAACTTCAACACACAATAGAAATTATATTAGGTTGACTTTGGAGATATTTTTTTTGCAGTTTGAGAATATTGGAACGGACCTTTTTCTTTACTATTTATAATCATAAGGGGAAAGGATCTTTTTGATTCAATCTTAAGTAGAGATCCATGGATACAGAAAAAGCTCAATATAGAAGGCACCATTAATTACAATTGAAATCAACGTAGACATTTATTGTCTCTAGCTAGGTCGTGGACCCAGTTTCTTACCCTCCATCTGTGCTGAAAATGATCCTTATCTTAATACCAGTATTAGAATCAAGAGCATGAAATGAAAAATGATGAAAGGTAGTTAGATGGGTTTTTCCTTTTTAATGAAGTGGGGTGTGGCAACGAACTAGATGTTGTGTTGGAAATTGATACAGCTGTTGAAATATTAATGAGATGTGACATGATTGAGGTTATATATTTATAAAAGAATTTTTAGCTTTTTCTCTCACTACACTTGGAACTCTCCCCATATTTTATATATATATTAGGTTGTATGACCTTAAATTTTGGCTTAAAAACAAATATTTTACTTTTTTTTATTTAAGTTTTTTATAAAAAGAAATTTTAGCTTTTTCTCTCACTACGTATTATTATTTTTGAAGAAAATTATCTGTGTTATATATTAAAAATAAAAAATATGTACTTCATTTATAATTTCCTTTAGTCCACGTTTTACATGATGGTTTGCTTTTAATATTACTTTCAAACCAAGTTGACAAATAAATCAGTGGATCAACCTAATCATTGACTTGTGAGTCAACTCTTTTTATCATTATTTTCATGTGGTTGAGGTTATATATTTCTAGATATATCTCCTTCATCAATTTCATTTGAAAGCAACGTGGGCAAAGAGGTTAACAACTGCTTGGAAATTATAATCTGAGAGACAACATCAATTGGACCACTACTTACTTTTTAGACATGCATATGTTCACACCAAAAGTCATCAAAAGTCTAGAAACGTGATCATGTCGTGTCCAATTATTGGATCAAAGCTTAAATATTCTTCCAGGAACTTGCATATAAACTTAAAAATTTAAGCTTGTAGACTTTTCAAATTACTTTTGAAGTTCTAGGGTAGCTATCTGTCGACTTCTAATGATGCTGAAATTTTCCAGAAACTTCACTGGATCCTTTCCATGTGAGCAGGAACTTCATTGCATCCCGGCCATTATCCATGGTTTACTGAGTAGTCAATAATAAAGAGAATGCATTCTCTTGTGGAAATATCCAACTTACATGACCTATCCTGACCTTCCTTATCCCACAAGCTCTAGGCGTACTCATGAGACTCGGGTGATTGAGAGGTGCCATGTGGGAAATCATAAAATATGGGAAACCTATTTCCAAATCAACGTCATGAACATTTCCTTATTCATTCATCATAAACATACATAATACTTCCTTGCAAACCAGGGGAAAACATATGGTATCAGACATTTTCAAATTCCTTACAATCCAAAGTAAACATGGATTAAAGTACATGATAGAAAAACATAAGTCTTGCAGTGAAAAATTTAAAAATATGACATACTACACACAGGTAAAATGTCATCGCGTGGCTCAACCTTGAATATGTGTTTTCTTGTGGAAATAACCAACTATATGGGTTTGCTTTTAATATTACTTTCAAACCAAGTATTTATTAAGGGCCCGTCACAGGCTCCATTTTCTATTTTCTACAGAATATTTATCTTACGTCATCTATCTTGTGTTACGATTCTTGCCTCGAGGCAATAATTAACGTAATATTTCGATCAAACGGTTCCAGAAAAAAAACTCAACTATCGTGCCACACTTTCATTGTCCAGTTCTTATCCTTACATCCTGTGGTCAAAAAGATTTTCATCAAACTTTTGATTATGAATAGTTCTGAAAAATCAATTATTGAAGTTTTACTGCTCATCCAACATCTTTGTCTCTCTCATTTTCTCTTACCCCTCCAATCGGCATATCACTACTAAGAAAAATCCGAAAACTTCTCTCCAACGCTTGAAGAAGTCAATGTTTATGCTCTTCTTGAACGAAATAGAGGCAATAACAGGAACAAAATATAACAGTAAACAAAGAAAATAACATGCGCGATTTACCATGGTTCACCCAATGTGGGCTACGTCCAGCTAAGTCAATATTATTGTAATATGCCCCACCTCTCTCGTTTACAATGAATGAATTGTCCTATGATTTGTTATCACATACATAATAAGAGAAAAGTATGTTTATATACTAGGTTTAAGAGACTAAATCTAGTTTTACAAGGATTTATATTCCTAAGCTGAACCTAATAAGGAATTAATAACTTAAAAGAAATCCTACAGCGGTTATACAGGGAAAAACCCAAAACCACCAACGGGCAGTAGGACCCCCGAATGCGTCTGTGTTACCCAATAATGCTGAAGTAGTCGACAACTCCAACATTCTCCCACTTGGTGAATACTTCACACAATGAAGGCCTACCTCATCGACACACCATGTAAACTTTGCTCAGCTCACAACCTTGGTAAGAAAATCTGCAGCATTAACAAGTGTATCAACCTTCTCTAACAACACCAATTTTTCCTCCACCTTTTGCCTGATGAAATGGTATTGTATGTCAATGTGTTTTGATCGCGAATGAAAAGCAGGATTCTTGGCTAAGTAAATAGCCCCTTGATTGTCACACCCAATCTTCACAGCATCAAGCTTGAAACCAAGCTCTAAACTCAATCTTCGAAGCCACATAGCTTCCTTGCCAGCATGTGTCAATGCCATGTATTCTGCCTCAGTTGATGACAAAGCCACAGTACTTTGCCTTTTACTCATCCAAAAAACAGCAGCACCAAATAAAGAGAATACATACACACTTGTGGAACGCCTACTATCGAGATCACCTCCCCAATCAGCATCCACAAAACCTATCACATCTAGCTCATCCCAGTCACCATGCCTCCATAACATAATGATAAATCCGAGGTCCCATGCAGATATCTAAGAACCCTCTTTACAGCATTCCAATGCTCCTTACCAGGATTTGACATAAAGCGACTCAAAACTCCCACTGCTTGTGCAATATCAGGTCGCGTGCACACAATGACATACATCAAACTACCTACAACACTCGCATACAACACATGTGTCATTTCTTCAGCATCTTCCTCAAACTTAGGACACTGATCAGTTGACAATTTCACTTCCAAAGTCATAGGAGTCTTCACAAGTTTGCAATCTACATGTTAAATTTCTTCAACACCTCCTCGATGTACCTTCTCTACCCTAACCACAATTTACAACTCTGACGATCTCTAGTAATTTGCATACCCAAAATAAAATTTACAGCCCCAAGATCTTTCATGTCAAATTGTGCAGCCAACAAACCCTTCACAGAATTTATCAACTCCTTGCTTTTCCCTATCAGCAACATATCATCTACATATAAGGTTAAAATAACAAAGACATTTTCTAACATTTTTACATATACACAGTGATCCACGTTGCTATGGCTAAAACCATGCTAAAGAACATAGGAGTTGAACTTTTGGTACCACATCCTTGGTGATTGTTTAAGCCCATACAGAGACTTCCTCAACCTACACACCAAGTCTCCCTTCCCTTTACATACAAACCCCTCAGGTTGCCTCATGTAAATTTCCTCCTCTAAATCTTCATGTAAGAATGCCGCTTTATATCAAGTTGCTCAATTTCAAGATCATACGCAGCAGCAATAGATAGAACATACCTAATTGATGTTAACTTGGCCATAGGAGAGAAAATCTCACCATAATCAACGCCTCAATCTGCGAGAATCCCTTTGCTGAAGTAGTCGACAACTCCAACATTCTCCCACTTGGCGAATACTTCATACAATGAAGACCTACCTCATCAACACACCATGTAAAGATTCTTTTATACGAAATTTATTCCTATTTATATTTTTAATTGTTTTCTAAACTTTGATCTTAATATTTTTTTAGTATGTTTAATGTTTTTAAGATTACATTTATTAATCCAACAATGCTGTTGAAATTATCTGTAAGTGGCATATTATTAAAAGTTAATTGTAGTGTTAGAATCAAGAGCATGCATGATAGCACGGGAAATAAGGTGCTATTGATAAGATGGGATTTTGCTTTTTTTTTTTTTTTTTAACCCATTACTAGATAGTTTAAGTGTTAGGACAAACTCAAGTGATAAGACCAGCACTGAGATGTGTGATTAAGGTACACAGTCTCAGGTTTAAGTCCCTCTTACTCCTAATTTAAGTCGTGTGATCCTATAGGAGGTTTTTACCTTTTAATAAAGTGGGGTGCGCCAACTAACTCGATGTTAAGATGGAAATAGACAAGGTTGTTGAAATAGTAATGGGATATGAGAGTTATGTATGAAAAATATTGTATATACAAATTTTATATGTAAATTATAATTTAAGTTATCAAATCATTTTAATGCACTTATAAGTTGTACGTGTGAGTTAGTATATTTAGTATTACTTATCTATTATTAATAATATTATATGCACAAACTTCTTATGTAAATTCAAACATATAAATTGAATTGTTTTAGGACGATCGGATAATTTTAAACTAAAATGATATGTTTTATATTATTTTTTTCTTTTTTTATTGAAGTTTTTTTTTTTAATAAAAAAGGATTTTGTTAAAAAAAAAAACAATTATTTGTGCTATATATTAAAAAGAAAAAATATGTAATGAACATTGTATAGAGTGAAGTTACATATAATAATTTATGTAGTTTATAATTTCTTTTGGTCCACGTTTTACACGATGACTTTGCTTTGTTTTAGGAAGAATGGAATAGGATTATCGTAATCACATTCTCCTTCCTTAGTCCTAATCCATTGGGACAATTATATTTTGACTTAAACTTGAAGATGGGAACTAAAAATCTCTTCCCTTTACTATAACCTTCAGAAAATAGCTTTGACCCTCTAAAAACTACATGACACCTTTTATAAAATAAAATTTCAAAAACCCTCTGTAAAAACTACCTACAACTACCTTATAAAATATTAAATAATCCCCTAATAAATCTTTTTCTAGCCCCCAATCTGAAAGAAAAATCTCAAAAAGATCTTTCCCTGCGTTTGGCATACTAATTTTA